ACCTACAGTCATGCAATACCGTATTATTAACTATAGTCACCATGCTGTACATTACATAAACTACTGTTTTTTTTTTTTTTAACTGGTGGGACTGGAGATTGAACCCAGGACCTCATGCATGCTGAGCACATGCTCTACACTGAGCTATACCCACCCTCCTAAACTACTGTGTTTTTACAATGACCTCATAGAATATCACTAACTGAATTTTGGAGGCACACCAAATATGCATTTTGGCCAAAATATCAAGCGTTAAATCATATTCAGCTGAAGCTAAAGCTAAATATCACTGTCATAGAATGGACGTGTTGGAATACATGAAAAAAAATCTGAAATTTCAACAAAACTGTTCCAGTGTTATATAAGTGTTTGGTAGCCAGATTTATTTTGACATTATACAGACTTTCCAATTTCTCACCCCTGCCTGCTGTTAGGTTGTTCCTGCCACCACTATACTGTGCTCCACGTTTGTGACACTGGACAGATGGTAGCTTGGCTGGGGTAGGGAGGGGAGCACCATGCTGGCGGCTGGTTCTGCCAGAACAGAATACTACTGAGGGCAGTGGTACCTAAGCTTGTTGTCCTCTGTGTTAGTAACTAGATAAAGACTAGGGTAATGGGTCAGGTGAAGCCTTATCTCCTCGTGAACCCTAAGACTTGGAGATTTGTTTGATGATCATGAGTTTCATTGAAGGAATCCCCAGCATTGAAGCATCGTGCGCTGCTTGAAATGTTCTATTTGCAGAAGCATACTCAAGATCACGTACCTCACTTTCTGACATTTTTGCTGCTTTGCACAATTAGTTGATTGAGAAAATCTGTCATTAATTCTGGCTCCAGAAATGTGGTAGTAGAGCAATGTTGCTGACTTTCAAGATACAACAGAATTGTTTCAGTTATCAGCTGTGTCTCAGCTTTCATGGTGCACACACCATCTTTAGCACTGTTGCTGGAATAGAATGACATGAGACTTTTTATCATGTAGGAAAAATGTGAGCTCTCAAGGTACATCAGTTTCATTTAAATCCCCTCCCTCCACCTTTTTTTTTTTTGCAGATTCTAGTGAATAAATTACTTCCTAATAAACAACCATTGGACTTAGCAGGCCTGCCTCTTTGGTAGTCCTGTCTGCAAAGCAAGATATTATGGGATCCTTGTTACCATTGTTCAAGCAGCCTACATAACAGACACTAGCTGCTCCTCCGTCTTGTTTGAGGATATTGTAAAAGTACCCAGTGAAGTAGTTCCACAGCCTCTTAGACATCATGAAATTAGTCTTCGGCTAAAGGAGAAGGAGGAAGAAAGCGCTAGGCTCCTTTTATGATTTCTGGTTCTGTTCGTTACACCGCGCTCTACTTAATTTCTGAACACACAGCTGATGAGTGTGACCAAAACTTCGAACGCCTATGACTCCAAAGGCACTCACACTTCACCATGTTTGTTCCATTGTCAACAATAGTTGGCTGTCCCTGTTCCTTCCTGGTTTCCATTCTACACTTCTTCATATTAGTGTAAGAGACCAGGACCTCCCTCAGCAAGC